TTTTTTTTTCCAAGCTGATTTTAAAATTTCCATGTAAATGCAAAGGAGAAAGGATAGATAGCCAAGGCAATCTTGAACAAGATTACTTCATAGATATCAGGACACTTACAAAGTGATAGTCATTAAATCCATGCTGAGGTCAAGAGGTCAGTATGTCAAAATGAAAAATCTGGATGGAAACTCTGGCACTTCATTTTAGTAGAAAAAGGATGGTCTTTTCAGTAAATTGTGGTTGAGCAGTTAGAAATCCATGTGTGAAAAACACTAATATTTATTCTTACCTCATAAATACCCCAAACATAAATTCAGATGGATTGTATATCTAAATGTAAGAAATGCACATAGAGTGTTTATAGAGGAAAACTGAGTAGACGTCTTATGACTTTGGGGAAAACAGTATTTCTTTAGTAGACATGTGAAGCATTAAGCATACAAGGAAAAAATAATAACCATTATTACAGTTAGGGACTTCTGTTTTTCAAAAGATCCTATTAAGTAAAAAGGAAGACTCAGAGTGGGAGAGAGATTTGTAATGTGTTTTTCCAACAAAGGAGTCTTACCTAGGGTGTACTTAGCTAACATCTGTAAATCTGTGAGAACAAGAAAAGACAACCCAGTGTACAAAATGGGCATAAATCATGAATATGCACTTCTCAAGAGTTTGTCGTTATGTGGACCATAAGCATCTCACAGATATGCTGTTCAGTGAAACCAGTGATCTCAGTTAATTGTAGTTCCAAAATGTTAAATGAATCGACCATGTTCGTAGTCAGGGAAATAGCTACCCTTGGTGGGAACCAATGGGGTTATAAGAATGTGCTGGCCACCTTCTTTTTGATCTGGTTGTTGACTACTTGGATATGTTTACTTTGTGAAAATTCAGTGAGCTGTACACTTAAAATTCATGTGCCTTTCTATAAATCTTATTCTTCAAGAGAAAAAAAAGAAGCTTACTTGAATATATTTTTAGAGAGAATGCATGCAAAAAAAAAAAGGGGGGGGGAACCTAAACTAAGTAGCCATTTTGGCAAGGATTTTTGATGCACTTGAAATATCCCCGTGGCTGACCTGTGTGTGATGGGAGTCTATTGTGGAAGAGTTGCCTTTCTTCTGCTGGCAGTCTGAGTTAAGAGTTCTAAGGACAGAGGTCATTTGCTAAAGAATGTCTGTTTTTACAAAGCAGCAGCATACCTGTTTGATTTCTGAAGATCTAGCATGTAAATAGAAAATTCTGAAACTTTAAGTTTGATCTGCGCAAGTGAAGAATCACAAAAGCATTTGCCTTTCTGCTTCTTTATTTTTGTTGCAGTAATTTCTTATCTCCTTTCAATAAAAAAAAAATTAAGTTGGCTACATAAAAGTCACCCTGATTAGTAAATTAGAAACAAACCAAGGTGGAGTCAAAAGGGGGAACAAGTATAGTAACCAGCTGGTGAGCACAGTTGCTGCACTTGGGCATGCAAATTGGCAACTGTTCCCTCTATGACTTCTGAGGCAGAAAGAGGAACAGTTTACCAAGGTGAGAGTTACTTTCCTTGTGGCACATTTCTCATCTGCAGCATTCAAGAGGCAACACTGAACGACATAGTGAAACATGGCTTTAATAATGGATGCTGTAGCAAACATGTAAGTTGAATGTGGTTGATTTTTTCCAGTGACCTTCAGTAAAGACAAAGGAGATGATGATTGTTCAATGACATGGTGTTGAAAAGAATCCCGCTAAACTTCCTCCTCTTCCCACAACTTCATCATCTGGGGGACATGCATGGCATTTGGGGCTTTTTTGCTGCTTTCAGAGAATGATATCCCATTTGTTTCAATTGAGCAGGTGCCCGGGAGGAGCCTACCGTACAGCAGGCACAG